AGATAAATGATTGCAAATGGAATATACAGTAGTTCCAGAAAAGAAAAACAGGACTAATTAACTAAGAGCTCCAACAGAATTATGCAAAAACAGAACTGTTGTTCCTTTTTGTATGTGAGGAAGGCATCACAACACAAAATCAATTTGATTATTTTCCCCAGAGAAAAAAAAAACAAAAACATTTTCTTGCCTTAAAAAGACGAGATGTTAAACAAAAAACGTAAACCTTAATTGTAAGCGATGGAAATGTCCTCATTTGCAAACTTCTTTCTTACTGTTTTTCTGATTCCAGCCCTCCAGTGTGCCAGTTTTTTTTAAAGTTAAGCAGCCCAGAGAACAGCTAGAGAGATTAGTTGCAATATGTTGAGTTGTTTTTTTTTTTTACTCTGAACAAGAGTGACACACTTAAAACCTGCATTCTGTTACATTCCTCAAATAGTAACTTTAGTCTTCAGAACTTTTTATTTTGCCTGTGGGAAGTTATTGCAGCGGTAGAATAAACAACATGATCGACTGAACACGGCATGGAAATGAATTATGCTAAATGGACACAATCCTATGAGCCTCATATAAACAAGGGGTGTAGAGGCTGTAGAATAATTTTGCAGTAGAAAAATAGTACCATTGCTGAAAGTTTGTGGATGTGAGTGAGAGTGTGTAGTGTGAGCTCGTGGCCTTCAAGGTCACCCTTCTCTCCTGCTGGTTCTACTGTCTCCTCAGCAGGGCAGCTCAGGGCCTCATTACAGCACACTTTATCTCTGGAGGGAAACTGAGAGTCAAAGTCAAGCTCTCACTCACCCACTGCCTCCGTCTCTATTCATACACACACTCACCTCAGCCATCTATCACACCACTATATCCACTATATCCACCACAGCTAATGTCAAATATGTCTGACAGTGTCTTTCCTATTTATTGAATTCCTTCACAAATTTGAAATAGTTATTTTTAATCATAAGCAAGTGTGTGCTTTATATATTATCAAAGCCAGTCTAATTACCCGTTGTCTTCATTACAAAACACCGTCAAAATAAACTGCTGTTGCAGGGTTAAATGATCTTTAGCAAAGAGAACATTCCTGAAACTTGTGTATAATGCTGCAGATCACTTTTTTTAAACAAAAGGTTTACTTTCACATTGTTACGACAGCACCATGCATTACAGAAGGATAGATGGCTTCTTGTTTCACTTCTTTTCAGTCCTCAACTTGCAGCAGGTTTACAAAATGTGTTGACATACAGCAAAAGTAAAAGTCAAGAGTCATTACTGAACAGCTTAGATATTGATCGGCTAATTGCTACCAAAGTAAAGTGAAAGAAAATGGCACTTTTTCAGAGCCATGCTGGCTGATTCCTGTTCCAAGTCTATTTTGCTAAGCTAGCAAAGATAACAAACTACTGCCTGTCATGTTTTATGCACAAATGTGAAAGTGGTATGATCCATTCACTGACAGCCAATAGGCGTAATTCCCAAAACATCTACTCATTTGTTATTTCATACAGTTAAGCTAATGTACACTACAGTAAACTGGCATTAGCTCAATCATCACTTAGTCTGACTTGGTCCAGTGGAACTTTCTTTGCCACTGAGCAGCTCTGCTTCAGTAAAAAATGTCATTATCAAAATGTCAGACTGCCCTAAAAAAAAAAAAAAAAAAAACACAACCAAAAAAAAGGAAGGTAGCAGCACTTTCTATCACACAGCCACTAACTCACTCCCCCAGCAGCAGAAGTTCTCGCTGGAATGAAACAGACTTTTTATGGTGCCAAGCAGACAGACAGTAGCACAGACTGAGAGAAAAAAAGAGAGAAGAGAGGTGCAGACTAAAACAAAAAAAGTACAAATAAATAACAGCAAGGGAGAATAGCAGAGGGGAGTGTGAGGGAGATATAAATCGTAGCTGGGTGCAGGGCTGCAGGGAGGCCAAGCAGCTGATGAATAGAGCCATCAGCCTAAGCAGAGGCTACAGAGCAGCATGCCATCTGCCTGCCCATTACTAGAATAGAGTGTATGACAGTCTACTCTCGTCTGCAGGCCCCACTGGCATCACTGGCAATCAAGAACATTTCTTTTTTTTGTGTGTGTGGTTACTTCTTCCTCAAATCCAAAAGGAAAGAGGTGTCCTTTACCACATTCTCATTGTGGCTGCTGTTGTGTCTTTAATTTGTGTGGGTGAATGCATTTGTCAAGCGCTTGTATCTATTTGAAGCGTATTGTGGTGAAAGTGCGCATGTGTGTGTGTGTGTGTGTGTGTGTGGAGGAAAGGGTGTCCCTCAGAGAAGAGTTATAGCAGCGTGGCAGACGCTTCACACCTCATTGGCAAGCGAGGAGAGCCAATCACAGCCAATAGATCCGCCCCTCAGGCTGGCTCAGTATCCTTGATGAGTTAGGGAGCGAGGCGAAGAATGAAAGAAAGTTAAAAAAAAAAAAAAAAAAGTACGAAATGGAGCAGAAGGAGAGCGAAGCAGAACAAAAGAACAAAAAAAGAGAGTCAATGCAGACACAAGAATGGGGATAGACTGTGCGAAGATGCACTAAAAAGCACAAAGACGCACAGACGGAGGAAAAAAACTTTAGAGTGAAAAGCTAGTGGTTTCTTCAGAGGTCATCAAATCAAGTGTGGTGAGCCATCACGGCAGAGGATGTTGTCTTTGGTATTGCAGAGTTGAGTACGTTCAGCTTTTTTAAAAAGAAAATCCAGAAAGATGCAACATATGACTGAAATATTGTAAAAGCATGGAAATGACCTCATTGAAATTAAATTGTAGCTTTAGCCTAATCGTTTTATGCAGTCCACTCTGGGAAGTGGTATCTGTGGCAGTAACAAAGTTTTACTGTTTGAACAGAGACAGATGGTACAGAGCACTTCCAGAGACAGAAGAAGAAGCCATACTGACAGCAGCAGATATAAATAACGGTCAGTGTAGCGCGCTCTTTATAGCTTGTTGCAGACGGTTAGAATGCAAATGTGCATGCTCGTGACTTCCAAGTCATTTGTTTTACTGTTGGGAACACTATGTTGTTGATGTGTCAATCATGTCGAGCAAACTCTTGGAAGTTCTCAAAAACTTTTCATAGATGTTGAGCACAAAAAGACGAGAAAAATATGTATTCTTTTAATGTGTGAGTCATGAAAGTGCTAGGAGCTTCATTAATGCTTGGCAGAGAGACTAGAGAGACAATCACGTCGACAAAAGAACTTGGGACTACACTGCAACAGATTTTCGACCTGCAAGACACAGACCTTTTAAGGCTTGTACATATTTTAGATTTTCCAATTTCACTTTTGCTTCTTTTTTCTTTACAGTCTTTACTCCATTTCCTCTGCTGTTTTTTTCTTTTTCATCTATATACTGAGTTCCCCCCCCTAGCTATCACCTCTATAAGAGACAAAAAAGAAAGAAAGAATTCACCTTCCCATGACCTTCCTTTAACTGCATTTCCAAAGATGTCCTCCTCCTTGTGCACCTGCTTCATCACCTCTACCCCTTCAGCAATCGAACTCTGGGACCCTTTAAACTGCCTTATGCCTCCGTGCAGCGTCACCTCGGGGTTTATCAGCAGCCACTCAGCTCAAGGACATCTCGCACTGGGAAAGTTCGTTTCCATTTAGCTCGTTCTGTCACTTTTGAACATGTACTCCTTTATTTATAAAGAAAATAATCTCCTCTCACATCAAATTCTCATTACTTCTACCATCTGATAAATGGCAGATTTCAACAGTTCCGGAAGCGTGTATCTAAATTTTTTTGCTAATTTAGCATTACATTAATAACACATTGTATTATGGCCTTACATACAGAACACTTTATTAGGAAATCCATCATATAAAACAGACTAAATTCTCTTTTTTTGAGGGATAAAAAGCACTTCTAACTCTCTCCATGTTTTTTTAGGTTGTGGTGGCTGCTTTAAAAAGGGGAAAGGTGAGCCCCATGATTTAGTTTCATGGTTCTCTAATCATCTTTTCATTATATTAGAAGGGAGTCAATCTTATTAAAGACAGAATACACTGTTAAATCATTTAACCTGGCCTGCTTTGCAATGGGTCAGAGAGAGGAAATCCATCAGAAAAAAAATGGGGGGAAAAGACAGAAAAAAATGTTGTTGGTCAGCTCTATAGCAAAACACCTGCCAAGAACTCCAATACCCATTATCCCCAACCTTTACAAAATCCCCCCCAACCCACACACACACACACACGCTGTAATAGAATTCAACCCCTCACCCCTTCTCGACTCCAAAAGTCAAAAAGCAAAAGGACAGCTGACTGACACGCAGAGGGGGGATTAGTCACAATGAATCACATGCTTGCACGCACACACACTCTTTCCCCTCCCTCTTTAACTCCCTCCAGAACACACACATCTCCTTCTGATGCAGATTCAAGATACAGTCTACTGTGACATCACCTGCCTCTGCATCAAACCCAGACGGTGTCCCTCTGACGTCGCCTCACATACACGACATATAAATTGTACGGATGGCTGCATTACTACCCTACTCACACACACACACATAAGGAGTGTGTGTCTATCTAGTTAAACCCAAGCCGGAGAGTCTGGCAGAGTGCAGACAGCGTAGAGAAGCCATCTCCTCTAAGGAAACATTAGCCTTGGAGACTGAGCAGAAAAGAAACACTCTCCAGAAGGGAAGAAGAGGAAAAAGTAGATAAGTGACAAAGGGGGGAGGGGGGGCCGAAGAAGAAAGAGATACAGAGCGATAAAAGAAAGATAGAGACATTGAGAGAAAGATAGATTACAAACCTGAACATCTGGGATGAATATTTCCCCTATGCTCCTCTCTCTCTCTCTCTCTCTCTTGGGCTCGTTCACTCCGTTTAGCAAACTGTCGCTGTGACAAAGCAGGGGCCGCGTATCCATCAAAAATGTACAATGCTTGCTGTAATTAGCATAAAACACACACACACACACACACGAGAGAGAGACACAAAGCCCGCTGAATATTTATGGAGAAAAAAAAAGTTCAACAACAGCCCCTGCATCGCTTTGTCTTTTATTTCCTCTGATTACACGTTGTCACAAGTGTTGGTCTGGATGAATGCTCAGCACGCACATTGTTACATTATTAACAGAAAGCTAACTCGCACAAACAGATGCAAAGAAGAAACAGATGCTAACACGTGTATAAGTGTACATGATAGTGATTAAGGGACCGGGGATGAATACATGATTTTATTGGTAACAGAATAGGACTGCCTTATCTGAAAAAATAGACTTCTAAGGTGTTGAAGAGAGGATGGGTCTGTGACAGAGGTGTTGATCGTGTTCATGTTCTTTAAGTCGGCCTAGCTCAGGCCTGCTGGGTTCCGTCGTTCTATGCTGTCTGTCCTAAATGGATGACGTAGTCGCTGCTTCCCCACCAACTCACAGGAGAGATAAAACAAAAGGTTTAAGAGGAGAGGGAGGAAAACAAGAAACGAGGGTGTCTAAGTCTCTCTGAGGGTGCTGTGTTTGGTGCCTCTAGTCTGGTTCTGGTTCTCCACGGGGGGTTTTGAGGGTTTGTGTCTTGGTGCTGACTCATTCCTCACTTCCTCCACTCTGGTTTGTTCTGTCTGTCTGTCAGTCGGTCGATAATAAGTAATCCCACACCATAAACTCTTCGTTGTGCTGTCTTTCTTCCACCCTCCTTTCTTTAACCGCCAGTCCTCAACTTGTTCTGCAGACAAAAACAGACAAAAAGTGCATTAGAGGAACAGAACGGCAAATAAAAAAATACTCCACAGAGAAAGAAAAAAACCAAGACAGAGAGAGAGAGAGAGAGAGAGAGAGAGAGAGAGAGAGAGAGAGAGAGAGAGGCCTGAGAGCGCAATAAAAAACAGAAAGAAGGATGGAGAGGGTGGGGAGAAGTAGAGAAAAGACCTGAGGGCAGTGGATTCCATGTTAGCGATAAGTGCAACCACAAATCCCCAGCACTCTCTGTCAATAAGCATTTGAACTGGGCGACAGCAGCTGATGCTGCTGAAGAAAGCTGCCCAAGAGGAGAGGAGGGAGGGGGGGGGCATAAGAGGGGAAAGAAACAAGGGACACAAGTGAAGGGGACTGGGAGACAGAAAGTAAGGGGAAAAGATATCTGATTTTGTCACTGACCATCTGGCGTTTTGGACAATTTGTGGATCATTTCAGTAAAATGTAATTTCTGCAAAGGAAGCTGCTATTGACAAACGTTTGAATACTGAAGAGTAGAATCAAGATTAAAACAAGGAGCAGACTTTAAAGAGATCACTTCAAGGGTAATACCTGGCCTGCGTACCTGAACTTCTGCCTTATATTGGAAGCTACAGGATCATTATGGTAACTATTGGTTGTTTGTTTCTTCACATAAAACATGAATTAGATATAATGGTGGAACAGTTGACCTTTTCAAAAATATACTTTATAATCTCACTGCATCCATGCAACTTCTTCTCTCTCAAAATTGAACAGTTTGGTGTGCACAGTGTGCAAGGTTGAATTTGTTAACTGAGCAAAAAGTCAATATTTATTTAATAATATCACTGTGTCAGGATTTCTCCTTGCAAAGTTAATAATTGCATAAAAATCCCAGTTCTCCTTTAATGACACATCTTGAGGTCAGAGCCCGGTGCAGTTCACAGCGCAGACTTGTGAGCTGAACAAGCTGCAGATTTGGGTGATACTTCTTAGTGGGTTTTACCCCTAACACCCACTTTCACCTTGTGTTACTATATGATTATACACTATCATCTTTGGTTTCAAACACTGGTTATAAACAGAATAAATGTTTTCACATCTCTGTAATAATTGATCAGAAAGATGTCTGAAACAGATCTTTAAAACCAAAAGGAAGAAAAACAGTGATGCAAGATTTACAGATGTCTGGATGACACATTGAACCACTCAAAAATGATTTATCAAGACCCTTTTTTATGCAGTATCAATATTCCCTTTTATTTCCATCCTTGCAAACTGAACACCTACTGAAACCACAAACAGCGATCCAGCTTGCTCCCTTTGAGAGTAAAAAGGAGACGAAGGGGTCAGTCTAAAAATGAAGAGGAGAAGGAAAAGATAGGAAGCGAGAGGCGCTCATGCGGCGAGAATATGGAATGAGGAAGCAGGCAATGGATGGAGAGATTGACCGGCTTGATAAACTCTTTTTTCATAGAGGGAGAGAGGGAGAGAAAAAAAAAGAGACTTTATCTGTCCTTCGACTGCCTCTTCCTCACAGTTTGCTATCTTAAGTGCTGAATGCATTAGAAATGTGACGAGGGATGAAGGGATAGTGGATGGAGGGAGTGAGGAAGGACCGATGGCGGAGCACAGAGGGCACAAAAGAGAGCGGGATTTGGTCTAAATGTTATCACTGACTGTGGCGATAAGACGCTAATTATCAGTGACAAAGGCCTGGATGTCTTGGCTGAATCCAGTTGAGGGGTCAATATTGTTTAACTGAGATTTGGGGGATTTTTATCCTCCAAGAGATGCCATCTTGGACTTCTCTATCTCACCACGGTGCTGCAGTTTTTTTTTTTTTTAGTGGACTTTAAGATTTGAAGGGGAAGGACAAAGAAGGGGATTTTGCTGTTTGTAAACTGCTATCAAGTGGGGTTTTTTTTCCAGAAAGGGCGAGGAGATGAGAGACGGCTTTTAGAGGTCACGTTTGGATTTTCTGACCTCCAGATGTCAAAGTCACGTCCTTTAACATTTGTTCTTCCTGCTGGGGCTCTGATAAAACTGTGTAAACATCCTAATCATGAAGCTCCATCGGCACACATCAATCCAACTTTATCCCTTTGTTTCTTTTTGTCTTGAAAATTCTACATATTATTCCTTTAGAGCCTTATCACAGAACTGTTTTTCTTTTTTGGCGCTTAATGACTTTAAAAGTCAGTCTCACACGGATAAGCCACAGAAAAACAGGAGTGTGCGCTGTGATTGCCGCAGGGTGATAAACACGGAGCGGATTACCATATCATCTCAGGCTTGCTTCTAAACAATTTACAACATCATAACAGCATCCGGATGGTGAACGCACGGTTGCTGCATCCTGACGAGGCTACAGGTATCTCTCTCTAAAACACACGCCCACAGATACACACACAATGAATAAAACATTGTGCAATTTACATGATGTATAGCTTAAAAATCTGCCAGCATCTGACTTTCAGATCTAATATTAATACCCACATGAGACATAAAACTCAGTTTCCTTCATTTCCGGAAAAACAATGTAAGAACAATCTAATAGAAAAAGCCCCATGAATGTAAATTAAGACTTCTTGGGGGGGCGATGGATGTTACATACCACCAAGTGAGAGAGGGGGAATCGAGTTAATATCAACCTGAGTGACATTGCAATCACAATACAGTGTGTGACCTGGAGAGACAGGGGGGCAAAAAAACATTTACACTTGGCAATGAAAGCTCCGGAGAGGACGGTAGCCAACAAGCAGCGGCTACTCCTTTGGTCTGATTACATTAAAACACACACACGGAGACAGCCGGGGAGAACGCCGGTGTCAGCAGGTATTATGGAAATAGATTGTAAGGTTTAAACTGCCTATTTAGAGTTTGCTTTATTCAGGCGCCAGTGGCACAGTGGAAATTATATTCTCCTGTCTAAAAGCAAGGAGCCGGCGCATGTAAATGGATGCCAGTGTGTATGTGTATACTTTATTAATTCATTTATACATTTAAAAGGGAATGGCTGCTCTACATTTGCTACCATACACATCTATGGAACCATGACGTACGCTAAGGCTAACACACTACTTTGTAACACACGTATCAACTGAACTGAAAGCTACACTAAAAGATTAGGAGCCACTTTAACTTACAAATCATCTGCCTATGAGGTTGCATGTATGTACTTTTCATTCTTTGCAGAGAGGGGGGGGAAAAAAGGATTATTTTTGAAGTGTTTTGATGCATTCAAGTTTTGGCATTTTCCTCACGTCGGTTGCACGCACATATAATCCTCATTCATTTCACTTGACAAGCATAGACACAGAAAACATTCATATGCAAAAGACGCAAGTGACAGGTGTAGCGAATGATGCTCAAATGAGATATGAAGAGTGACTAAATACGCACCTGTTTTGCGTTGTTGACACACTTCAGGTAAAGAGCGGCAATGTTGGAGCAGTTGAGGGTTTTTCCGACGTTCTCATTGTAGCATGCCAGGATCTGGCCCTGCAGGTCTGTGCACACTGGATACATCTCGTACCGCCTGCGAGAGCAAGAAGGGGGGAGAACTAGTGTGAAAATGGTGCAAAAAAAAAAAGAAGATTAGTGTTAGATGTGATGAAAGTGTTAAAATAAAAAGACTAAGAGTTAAACGCGATATTGAGAATAGAGTGGCAAACGGTCAAGATGGACATAAATTGAGGAAACATTGGGAAATAAAGATTGCAATGCTGCGACATTAACATAGTATTAGGGGCTGCTGTGGCTCAGTTGGTCGAGTCGGTCTTCTCTCAATGGGAAGGTTGAGGGTTTGATCCCCAGCTCCTGCAGCAACATGTCCAATTTGATTGTTTTAATCTGTTTCCTCTGATCGTTTTAATCTTTATCCATTGGTGGTTTTTATTCTTTGTACATCGTTGTATCTTTGGTGATGATTTTTTTTTTTTCATTCCTTATCATTTGTGGTTATCTTGTTGTATATTACCCCACCTTTTCATTTTTAATCATGGTCTTTCTCAAATGTATCTTTTATTTTATTTTCATTCGTGAAGCACTTTGTAACCCTGTTTTGAGACGTGCTATATAAATAGTTTATTATTATGATCAATGTTATTCCAGTCCACACAACACCTCAAGTAACAATTAAATAAATGCTGCATCTGCTGGGAGGAGGTCAATCCTCCTGTGATGACCTCACCAATGTGTGCATTACAACAATAAGAAGTGTCACATAGTGCCCAATATTGGATCTATATCCTTAAAAGAGAGATCCATCAGAGCCATAGGACTGCATAGGAGAGAAGCTATTTCTGCAAATCAATTTACAATGCAGACAAAACAAGAGAAAGGGAACGGTTGAATCGGGTAAGCAATGATGCTAACTTGTTACAACATAATGTGATGATGGAGTTAAAATAACTGGCAAGCTGAGTGTTCCTTCTTGATCATTAAGTTACAGTTTACTTCAAAAAAATAAAGCTTTACAGAGAGCAGCGTACTGACTAGTCTATTGGAGCCCCAATGAATCCATCCATTGATTCAGGAAGGCTCTCTGAGAGGGTCATTGAGCCATTGAATTCAGGGCAGCAATCACCTTGAGCTGATTGAACTACCTCACTGAACCTTTACAATCCAATATGAGGTTGTAGTAGTTTGTGGATGTTAACCTGCCTGGTTATTGTATACACATTTGCTTGCCTGTCCTTGAAACCTGCTATGTACTTAGCACAAGAAACATCCAGAGGCTAGCACTCCTAATTGTAGATGCTATGCTAACTTTGGTGCACCTAAATGGGACTCTTATGTTGGATGTATGGAAGAGTTGGATAGTTTAGTCACTCTATGAAGTATCAACTCTGGTGTCTCACCCAATGTTAACTGCTTTTGTCTGTCTCTTCACACACCCCATAAAAACCAATAATGATGACACATGCACATGCTACGGCTATTATGCTAATGGTGGTGTCATCGTTTTGTTCACACCAGTGCTCAGGACACTCTATCTGCCTCACTAAACGCCTTGCATGAGTGTGAAAGAGAAAAGAGGGTTTTTGCCCGTCAGCAACTCCGCTGATCTCAAAGGAATATTGGGGGATGAAGCCGAGGCCCCATAGTCAGTATCAGATGTTTGATTAGCCCCCCAGAGAGAGAGGAATTACCCCCTCCCGTTGGATACAATGCAGGGGACTGGTGGCACAGGTCATTAAACAGGGTGACATGCAGCAGGAAGCTGGTGCGGTGGAGGTGCGTACATATGCGCATCCCCACATGGTCATATATGTTAAAGGAGGCCGGAAAAATCTATAGTCCTTGTAAGTGCAGGTCAGTGACAATTTGTGCTTTCCACAGCTACCACCGTAGTGGGAATTATCAATACACTTAATCATTCACCAACAATTAAAAGTAACCAGACAGGGCCAAAAGAAATACTTTAGTACAGAGCCAGACTCGCCAGGTCCCTATGTCCAGTCTTAATGCTAAGCCAGTCCAACTGGATGTTAATTTCAACTTCGACATGAACTGTCCAGTCACAATTCTCATCTCGCTCTCAGCAATGACTCAAACGAGCATATATAGCAAAATGTGAAACAGAACCTTTACATTTTGGCCAATTCAGCAGAAGATTCCACTGCTGTGAGTGTAGACTGCAACATTGTGCCATTGGGTATATGGACAAGAATCTGCATTTGTGAACCCACATGGGAGAGATTCAGTCATTTGCTAGCAGGCATGACAAGGCCATTGCTCCGCGTCAGGGTATTGAACGATGACAGCAGTGCTAGCAGAAATCGCTGCCATCCTATTCCTATGGATCCTGACGCTCATTTATTACCGCCTATGGGCATCTACAGGGACGAGAGGAGCCACACACACCCACTAATTACTTTCTTAAGCGTTTGCGTTAATGCCAGGTGCATCCTGCTGATACAAACCACTGTGTTTATCACCAGTAATGGCCTCTGAGAGAAAGAGAGAGAGAGAGAGAGGACAGAGCATGAGAGGGAGGGAGGATGGGAGAGAAAGAAGGGGGCGGGGGGCAGAAATGAAAACAGTATTTCTTGATGAGGAACCAGACATTGGTACTCCTATTTTTGTTCACTCTCTGATTCTTTCAGTGGTTATGGAGGGAAGGACACAGCGGCGACACGCTGTTGCGGCGACACGCTGCATCCTCTATCATCTACCCTTAAGATTAACACTAAGTTCCCACTGCAGAGCACACGGAGCTGGTAGGGAAAGACTACAGATCTCCCTCCCCTTCCTCGGTTGTACATTAAGGTCACCTCATGTCATTTACCATAGCCAGAATAGTTTAAGGCTTTGTAGGAAAGTTACAAGATGGCAAAATGATTGACATGTCTCATGAAGAATTTAGTAGAAACACTAGAATAATGCAATTTTTCTTACAAAAATAAAGAAAAACACAACAGGGGGGGGATTTTGGGCATCACAGGGTATGTGTAAATATAGAAAAATAACCCCACTATGATTAGTTCATTTCCCATGTAACCTGAGCAGTAAGGCATTCATAAACATTGAGGCTGTACCCCATTCCCAAAGCAAAGGTCCTTTTTTTAAGCTTACATTGGATCATTAACAGGACATGAGAGATGCTATAAAAGGGTAACTGCCTGAGGCATTTTGAACATTATTTCAACAGGATTTGGTCAGAATGTGGAGTTTAACTTGTGATCAACAGGTTGCAATAGATTTATGCGTATTATCTAAAGAAGAGGAGCACCTCAACCTGATGCTTTTGACCCCTTCTCTTTCAAACGGTTTGAATTTCAGTTCTTAGCAAAAAGTGAATATAGGACATGAGTAGCTTTCCTTTTCACATTCACAAGGGTGCAAACTTTACAAAGCCTGAAAAACATGTTTTTTTTCCCAATAGTAAGTTGTTTTTTCCCCTTCTTTGAGATTAATCTCGAGACCCTGCCTAGGGAAATAGACTCTCCGTATGAGATTGTGTTTTACCTGTACAGTCATCACACACACATCTCTGGTGTAACACGGAGAAAACACACTTCCTTTACACATAAAAAATCATAGATCATTCTGCAAGCTATAGAAGCAGCTATTGCCAATAAATGTGCATTTATTGCCCTCCTTTCTTCCTTTTGTTTACCATCTCCATCTTCCCTTTATTCCCTCCCTTAATCCCCAGAGGTTCATGGGATATTTAATGAAGAAGTCCATGTGGTGGGAGACACTGACAGAAGCAAAAAGAGCCAGATACAGTTGGTTATTATTTGCTGTACGTGTGTGTGTGTGTGTGTGTGTGTGTGTAAACCCACAGAGACAGTAAATCTAAACAGTCATATAGGGGTCTCGCCTCATGACATCAGTAGCTGCAAAGGTCTCTATAACAGCACCTTATCAACCCCACCCCCTCTAACCTCATATATATATATATACGCACACACACACATACACACACACACACACACACACACATACACACACTGAACAAGGCTCTATTGCCTTGATGCACCGATATGAATGAAAGGGAGGAGAGAGGTTGGTTTAGATATCTACATTACAGTTTCTCTGCTGTGCGTCATAAATCACAGAGCGGAGTGAGGGATATAGAGACAAAAAAGGAGAGAATAGAAAAAGGACAGACATCAGGGCGTTAAGGTGATTTATTGGAGAAACTAGGGCAGAGATGGACAGTATGCGTTTGTGTGGAAAAGAAGAAAAAAACAGACGAGAGGAAACAACACTCCAAATTTAAAAAGGGGGTATCAAAGACTATATTTTTCAAAATAACTTCTCCTTACAATTTTGTTTCCTGACAATTTTGTTCAATTTTAGTCGAACAGGAGCAGACAAAGATCGTCCACCGCACTCCTGAAGTTTCATGTCTCCTTCCTTTGTAAAGTTGCCTTCAGGAGCGAGAAGAATAGGGAGGTGGAGAGGAGGGGCAGAAATGACACAAGAGGGTGAACATGTCCCATTTAACATGTAATAAAGCAGAACAGATTATTTTCTCCCTCCCTCTCACTGTCTGTCTCCCTCCTCAAGGTGTCCCTATATCATTTAATACAATCCCCCTCTTTCGAGCCCCCCACTGTTCGAGTCAGCACATTTCCACAAAGGGGACATATACCTGCAGGTTTACGGCTCTGACTACCTTCTTTAAAGCATGCATCGACTGCGAGCTGAGGGGGGGGGGGGTATTGAGATCGATGTTGGGATTTTCATACAATATGCATGTGTTATGCCAATAGACTGAGCCAGGATCAGTGGCAGTACATTTTTCAAACCAACAGATATTGACCATGAATACCATCTGCTGTAACAATATAATGCTTCGTGTGCTGAAATGACATTCATAGATCTCTGTTAGGGATACAACATGCTTCAATAAGTTGAGTGTGAGACACATCTGGAAACATGTACACTCATCTGTCATCATTTCAGATGCATTATAACCGGGAACAAAGACATACAGATACACACACAAAGTAACAGAACATTGCCCACCCTAACACAGTTCCCCGGAGAAAGGAGTATTGATTGCACAAACTTGCTCAAGAA